TCGTCCGGCGAAGCAATATCATACAAATGGATGTTCGTTATAAAGATTTAACAGCAGGTAGAATGAATTGATGAATTCAAAACATCATCAGCCTATTCATTTCTCGATTGATGGGGCCACAGTTTTTCTATGGATGGAATAAGGGACGTGATCCACCACGTACGGGGTCTAATACGAATCAATGGTGCATGCTTACGATTGCATATGCTGCCAAGGACTAAACTTGTCCATCCCAGAGGATGTTGGACTCCTCAATAAAACTCCTAGATGACGTTTCACTTCAATTAATCAAATTAATTATATCATTCAAGGAACTAATTTATCGTCTACAGACTAAACTATGCAAGAGATTTTGGGCATAAGATAGCTTACGCCAAAGCTTCGCGAATAAAAATAGATCAAATACCACAGCGTATACCTTCTACTATCGGGGATCACGATCAAATTACGGCCACGGTTCATTATTTGTGTTTAAATCACGGAATGTCACGTCAATGTCCGCGGCGATTACTTTCGGAGTAAAGTTTGCGGCTACATCCGTCCCTGATGGTTGTAGGTAATTGCTCTTACGATCTCACGATGTATGGGAATCACGAATGACTGAGACCCACTCGAATTCTTTGCTTTACGATTGATGCGACTGCCCATCACTACAGCGCTGTGTAATGGTATTAAAGAAAATAGGTGTCCCGTGTTGTACTGGGAGTGTATTAGATAAGTGGACTGCCATCTGACACCTTTACGTGCTGTTAGTAAAATTCTGACAATGAAAGAGGAATTTTAAATTATATATTCTTTTAGATGAAGAGCTGTTAATAGCATTTAAAACTGAATTATGATTATGAGAGACGTAGGGCATAGTGGATTTAACAATCAAATTGGAGCGCCCGCCCGTCTGGGGAAGTAACCTACACCTTACATAAGACCACAATAAAATAACACTACCTTTTGGTGGTAATGTATTTCTGTCGGTGTAAAAGGTTCCAGGGTTGCACAGGGTAGGTAGGTGATTGGATCAGGGTAGCCAACGGTGCGTGCAATATTTTTGGTACGGCAAGCGACTATAGGCTATACGATGACCGCTTACCATCAGACAAGTCATATGCTGGTTTGCCCCTCTTTTAAAATAAAATAAAATAAAATATAAAAAGCCTTTTGTTTACCATATTTGAATTATCTTACACAATTTGTTAAGTTTATACACTAATAATTATGGTCCCCTGAGAGGGTGCAGGCCTCCTACATTTCGTTCCACGCGACCCTGTTGCTGGCTTTCTTGGTCCAGCTCTGACCGGCTTTGTTGACTATGTCATCTGCCCCTCGTTTGTATGGTCTGCCAACCCTCTTTATTTCTGTGGATCCTGTCCATTTTGTCGCTCTTATAGACCACCTGTCGTCTGTAAGACGTCAGACATGGTCAGCCCAGCGCCACTTTAGCTTTAGAGCATGTGCGAGAGCATCAATCAGTACGTTTTTGCTCTTATGATGGTACTGTTTATTTTTTGGACCTTCTTGATTTTTGGGATACTCCGCTCCATTACTCTCTGTATGGTAGTGATTTTGCTTTTTACCTTTTTTGTAATACCCAGGGCAGGCATCCATATAGTAAGCGTGGTAGCAGGCATGTGTCCATCACTACGTTTCTATTACCCAAACTGCGGTTTCTTTTCAAAATCTCTTTTAGGGACCAGAACTTTCTCCAAGGTAAGTTTACTCTTCGCTGTATTTCTTCTTCTCTAGCTTTAGTGGTGAAAGATATTTGTTTAGTGGTGAAAGATAGTTGGTAGGTATATTTATCAATATATTCTATTTTGCTGCTACTGTGATAGGTTTCCTGTAACTGTTGGTCATGGTTTTTGTTTTACTTTTATTCATCTTCAGGCCCACCTTAGAACTTTCCTCATCCAGTTCTAATAATATTTTTTCTTATTCTAATGCTTATTCTGAAAATAACAGCAATGTCATCAGCGAATCGTAGCTGACTCAAGTAGTTATTTCCAATTTTGATACCTTTATTCTGTCATTTTACGTTTTTAAATATAGATTAAAGGACCACAATAAAAAGTTTGGGGATTATAGAGTCTACCTGTCTGACGCCGCTTTCAAATAAAAAAGGAAAACTTTTATAATGGCAAGTAACATAATGGATTCTATTATGCGTGAAATATGCATATTATTATATTTATTCGATATATATAGCCACAAAACTTTATTTTTCTTAATAACAAACAATATCGTTCAATGCAAAAACAAACTGATTAGCTGCTTATAAAGACTTTCAATAACAAGCATTGGAAGTTGCCTCATTGTCAGTGGCAACAGTACTTACCTACCTAAAACAATGCATCAGTTTCTGCGAAGATGTAATTAAAGCGCAGGACCGGTTGTCAGCACTTGTTGTTCGTAGTAAATGAGGTCCTCGGGAAGACATGTGCTATTTAACTATCTAATGGAATCTTCTTGGTGTTCTCAACTGTAAGGAGTTTAAAATCCAACTTTGAAATAAACTATTTTTTACTATGTAGGTAGGTACACCATGCATTTAAGTATTTGATTCTATAAAAGTTTCAATGAATTCTAACCTTAAATAGCAGACACGACGACGTCCTGAGAAATGACTCTCTGACTACGTACCGCTTACATATCAGCCACTCGATTGTCACTTTGACAGCCTAAAGACTGAATTATCTTACCCTCTGAAGATCTAGATGATCTGACTAAGCAAAGAAACACTACAATATTCATTTTTTTTAAGTTTAGTACGTTACAAGCTTTCGTGAATGTCTAGAAGGTATGCCATGGGTTCGTAAATCAATGGAGGGAAACCTTATTCTGAGAAGAACCAGCAGGAAACTCAGCACACTACAATATATGGCTACATGAGTTCTTTGTAAGGTGGTTGTCAACTCTCATTTGGTTTCCGGAAAATTCGTGATATAACACCCTTTATTTAATTTTATAAAAAAAGCCTGTAATTTTATCTACATAACTTTATAATGTTAAAATTTTCTACATGTTATTTTGTGATAAAGTACGTAATGTTTATGATCTAAAGAAAATTTCAGGATCCTGTCTGATATCTGGTCCGTGGAATATTTTTATGAAATGTAGCAGTTAAATGCTTAAAATAAAAATATAATTTAAGTTTACGAGTCAAGCTCTATTGAAGAAAAACTTTTGACGTTGCTTAGGACATGTCAAAAAGAAAAATGTAAGCAGTTTGCTTAGGTAATATTATTTTTCCACCCTTTCTAGGGTAAGCGTTCGCAACTGGCAACCGTCTGGGAATGTGATCCAGAGCGCATTCCCGATTCGTTCCCTGTTGTTTTTGTGGCTAGGGAATCGCTAATAGGTACAGGTTTAGCTGCGAGTGCTCCCGGTCCCGACTGTCCTGTGTCATCCATACACTGGGTACTTGGGAAGTAATGCGCCGCGGGGGCGAAACAAAATGCTTAATACATTATGTATCGATACGATAGTAGAATACCGAAAAAAGAATCCGCCAAGTGCTAGTTGGACTTAGTAACGTTTTTGTTCAGCCCGATTTAGGAAGTCAGCTTCGTTTTTTATTTATTTGAAATTTCAGTGAATTTAATCAAGAGAGGTTCGTTTTTAAAGCGCTAATAGTTTATAAAGATTTATTTAGTTTTCGATAGTATTTGTTAAAATATATAAAATCTATACAAAAAATAATAATATAAAGCTAAAGAGTGCTTATTTGTTTGCTAAATGTTTGTTGCTTGTTATTTCGCTAATCTCAGGAACTACTGATCCAATAAGGAAAAAATCATTTTGTGTTGGATAGTGGTATCGAGGAAAACTATAGGCTATATAAAATAACGCTATAAATAGGAGAGGAGCACCAATGAAAAATGTTGCAAAAACGAGAAAAAATATTCCATTTGTGACCTTCCGTTGTGTCCGCTGCGTAAACGGTAAAAATGACACAAAATCATTAATGATGGAATTTGTTACCCTTTAAAAGTTCTATAAAAAGTCCGCGACAGCATATCTCTATATTTAAGGGTGACCTATTGTAACCTTTTTCTTAAATTAATGCTGGTGAAACCGCAGGGCACCTCTAGTTTATAGGATATAAATTCAAGTATGCAAAGGTTATACGAAGACTTTTAACCAACCTCTTTCCATAGTAAGGACACCTACGAAATTCAGCCACAGGTTATTTTTTTTTTTAATTTTTAGGTCCTTTTCTATACAATCAAATTAATAAACGGTTGAATATTTACCCATTACCCAGGTTAGTATGAAAAGAAGTAATCTATAAGTGGCTTCAAGCAATGTCTTATGAAGAAACCGAAAATTTTATAAATAAACTAAGCTGAATAATTCTAACTGATACATACACGTATGCTACAAATACTAAAACATAAATTCATCCGCAGTTGTACACATAAACACAAATACACTCACATACACCCACACATCATTTCATACATTACATATTAATTCACATCGCCTCATCCGTAGAACAGAGTCCGAACTGCAGAATTGATAGTTTTCAGATGAGGAGTTAGAAGTTCTTGACTTGTGTAACTCTTAAACGGCAAGAATTGACATTTTAGATTTTTTGGCATGTTGTTATTATATCACAGCCTAGTTAAATGCTCTATATTGTATATTTCTAAATAATTTACTTTACGATATAGTGAGTTCCATATCAACATAGGACGTTTTATAGCATAAGAGCGGAGGTCCGTAGAAAACATCGAACGTTGTTTTACGGAAGAAGTGACGTGCTACATTAAGATGAGTCGTTTTTTGTTGGAATTACCTATATTCAAAGGGTCTTATGTATATGAGAAACTTAAGCATGTAAGCATAATATTAGTTATACCTATCTCCCCATATTGCAAAATGAAAAAGTGAATTGCTATCTCAAATCGTTTATTAAAAATCTCAATATAGGTTAGAACATTGGATGGAATCATCTATAATGATAGCAACCATAAATCACAGCAATAATTAGCGTAGTCTGACCATCTATGTACCTATTAGAACAATGTACGAAGGTGCATATTATAGAATTATAAACCTTGCACTAATTACAAAATCAAAAATAACATTTTTCTTTTTAATAATTTTACTAATCAAATGAACGTTGAGGTTCTACATACTTAACAAAAATTAAATTGTACTTATACCTAGAACAAAACTAATAAGTAATTAAATGGCAAATCGTATCACAGTAGGTATGATCTTAAACTTATAGATGTGTTTTAATACTTATTGCAATAGTGGAAAATTTTGTATGAGTACATTTGGACATAACAATAGGTACTTATTTCGAAATATACGATAAAACATACAGTCTTCATAATATGATCAATCAGTCTTACATCGCGGTTTAGCAGTGTGTGCACATAGGTAATAATTAAATCAATTAGGGGAACTTATAATTATAATGTGTTTTTCTAAATCAGCATTCAAGAAGCAATAAGCATTCAAGTCTAAAAAGAATAAACAAAAAGTAAAGAGCATAAGCAAGATGAGAATATCTTATTCTGACCGGTCATCATCTGATTCCTCAGAAACATCAACAATGATATGATGTGGCAAAGAGTTAAAGTACTGATGATATTCTAATGGAATAACTTCTGAACGGCACATATCCATTAGATCCTTATATTTAGCAGCAGGAATCTTTATTGGTTCAGAATAGGCAGGTTTTAGTTCGGTTTGTACCGCTAAAATATGATAATCAGGTTGAATCAGGTCGTATTTAAAAAACGATTTGTTGGCATCAATCCCATCTGCGTGAACTTCTCTTATGCTACTCCAGTAACGGCAAGAGTGTTGAGGAACATTATTTGGCATATTTCAATTTTCTCGCAGTGAGATTCGCTGGTGCCTGTAATGAGAGGGAGATAGTACTTAAAAGTAAACTTTCTATTATTAGGAGTATCTTGATTGAGGCTTCTTTTCTTCTTCATTTTATCGGAATATTTTATTATGAAATTCCATTGCTTAGCTCGATCTCCCAGTTGCCAAAATTTTGTGAAACAGTCCAATCTCTGTTGGTGAGATACTTTACCAGAACATTTGTAGCGGCACTTGCATGGCGGCCCCATAGTTTTTTCATCCACGGCTTTTCCCTTCTTCCTTACATATTTTTTACCTAAGTTTTTAAGGCATTTGCGTTTAACATCTATCCATTCTTTTGGACGCCGCTGTCTTTTTCTGGTCAGTTTAGGAGTCACTGTGTGGTTATTAAAGCATGAAGTAGCCCGCGAATTTGTAAGTGATGATGAAATAGCAGAGGAGTCTACATGATTAGGGCAGAATACGCTATCGCAAGTTGAATGAAGGTTAGTAGGAGACGACATAGGAGTTGATACTGACAGTTCCAAATTAACCGGGGTAGATCTGTGGTGAGAAACCTCTAACTCTTCAAGCTGTATTAATGATGAATTTTCGAAACTAGACGGCACTTCCAAAGAAAATGTACTAGGTTGATTGCTGTAAATATCGTTAACAGACTGAACAGACATGACATTCCGTATTGAGCTGTCGCAGATAATTTTCTTGCTCCCACCATTTTCCTGCAAAACTTCCTCCCATATATCAGCTAATTCTTGACTAATTTCTTCTGCACCAGTGGGTAAAGGTGACAACATGCCGTTTTCTACAACATTCACAACTGAAATAAAAAATAATTGTATTAGATATTAAAAGTAATACTTTTTAAATGTATATTACAATAATATGTACCTAGTAAGTAATTAAGCTAATTAAAAACAATATATCTTTATATTTAACGAAATTTTCAAATGAACAACGTCCTAACTAATCTCATTATCCCATTTACAACGTCCTATCTTAACATCAAACCATCAAATTGTATCATAGATTTCATAGAAAAACGTCCTATAGTAACATAAAACGCTTAGAAGTTCAATAATGTTCGTGTGAAATCGTCTTAACTTTTTATAAGACGTCTATTTTGCGTCTACTATTTAATGCATACTATAACAGAAAAAATGATCCTGTGCATACTCATTACGCAAATCGTATTTTCCGCGCCTAAAATGGGTTCTACAAATCGTCGTCAAATATGTCCTATATAAATATAAATCGTCCACAACTGTTAACTAAGATAAAAAGCAATTATAGACAAAATGTAGGTTTATTTAGAAATTAAATAGTGTTAATCACGAAGTAATATCACTATAAATCGTATACTTACCAGTATCTACATTTTTATTTCAATATTCGGCATGAACATTTGAAAATGAATAACTAAGTTCGGGCTCTTCTGCACCTTCATTATGCATTCTCAATATTTTCAGTGATCGCGACATCTCTAAAATTATGCTTTTTTTTATTTTATTTTGCTTTCACATACAAATCATTTAATAAATTGGTTTAATATTAAAAATCAAAAGAAGCTTAGCACGTGTCACAAAAACGCCCACTCTCCATTAAATAGTGGTCGAACAGACGTACGGACCGGACACTCGCGATGCCCCCGCGCCGCGCGCACAGTCGCATGTACACTCCGTGCGTTGTAACGCGGACGAAATATCATATGGAACGTTATGCGATTCTATATTTCGAAAAATTAATAAGATACGAAAATTCTAAAAACATACGTCGATAGATATTGTATTTCTAATCTCATTTAGCTATTAAAACAGGATTTGCTCTATAATCACATCGGACTCTGTTCTACGCATGAGTCGACATATTATACACATGCCTTAATTTAAAATGAATTGCTACCCATTGACCTTTTCATTTATGAGATATGTATTTAGTCCAGTTTGGTATTCTCATGTCTGTGGGGGTTTATGGCGCTGAATGCTGAAATACAGGCCTTGCCCAGTTCAGCAGCAGAGGCTAATAAATTATACTTTCTGTATAACTAGTGCTAAGTTTGTTACTTAATCTTACTGTACTGATTTTTTTGGTCAATAAATCTTATTATTTTAATATTATATTATACTTCTTGAGTGTAAATTGGATTTGGTTAATTCATTTGTGACTAAGAGGTTTGTTTACATAAAACACAACTTACTGTTACGGTGCGGCGACGATAGTCAATGCCGTTGAATTAACTCATTTTCGTTTCGAACCATCTGATTCGATTGAAATCTCTTTTCGTCTTCACGCATGGTTGATATCCAATCGAGTGCCTACTTTAAATATCCCAGTCTGGCAATGACGTAATGATTCAAAGGATCACATTATGCAGACAGATTGAGAACGGAGCTCTTGAAATCGAGTAGTAATTGATTTGTGTTTTTGTGTTAAATTTATCCAAAAAATATATCCAAGCTTACAAAAAGAGGAAAACGTGGGGGGGGGGGGGGTGGCTTGCCACTTGCTTACAATCTAGTATTAATCGCTTCATAATAACATGCTTAAAATCTAAGAAGTACTTCCTAACTTATTCAGAGTATTATGCTCATGAAACAAACAACAAATTAATAATCACATAGAAGAATAATCTAGATAGAAGACACTATATCAATTAAGTGAATTAACTGTAATAAGTTCAGTGACTCACTCCATGTGCCAGTCTAGTCTTTTAAGTCTGATGATCTCTAATATAATTAGTTTAATTTAGTTAATATGTACTATTAGCCAATATGTTTTGAAATGCATGGTGTGGCATTTCAAAAGTGCAGTCAAAAATATATTTATCAAGTAAGTTACCGCTTTATTACTTGACTGTATAACACCGATGCGGATGGGTTGATCTTAACTCAGTTTTACCTAATAGATGAGCATATAAATAAACAAACATTTTAACAAAAATTAAACAGCTGAATAGTAAAAAATACTAAACCTTTTTTATCTTTCGACTTTATATTTGGAGTCAGTGTCAGTGCCAGGCTAACCCAAGTAGTAAATAAGAACTCGGATCTTTCAGCCCTGCATGGCACCAATTATTAATTTGACTAAAGATAAAAAGGTTTATTTATATTTTACTTTTCAACAGTTTAATTTTTTTGTTATAATGTTTCTATTTTACATTTTTTTTATTGTGGCTATAATTTTTGTATTTAACAACTCGGCATCAAAAACTGTGAGTGAACAGAAATCAGAAATCAATATATCTTTATTCAAATTGTATACAAAGTACAACTCTTTTGAATCGTGCAAAATTTTTGTTATGGGTAAAAACTGCGTCTAAAACTAAACTAAACTCGCGTCAGGACACGTGGCCTGATCGCGTCAGTCCTGACGTTCTGATAAGGTCACGTGTCCACGTGACCTAATCGAAAATTCATAAGACGAAAACAATAAAATTGGAAAGGTTGTTGACTTTTAATATATTGGATGAAACATAGTAATATTTTATTTTATCGTATTATAATAATAAGTCTAGAGACTTGAGCTGCCACCTGGACGTCCTAATTAGAATTAGGACGTCCAGGTGGCAGCTTTATTGCGAAGAAAATGCATCTTTTTTTACAATAGATGTCGCTATGTGCGCTTATAAAATGCACAATGTTAATATTCAAGTTTTCACTTCTGCCGGCACCCCCGGAGTGCAACCCGTCGTTTTTTTCAAAATACATAAAAATATATTTTTGTCTAACTGCCAAGATATGACAAAGGGAGGTTTAAACCGTTGGAGTTTGCTAGCTTTTTTTTTATAAAGTCCATTATTTCCAGACTACCTAACGAAACCACGATAAAAGTCGGTCGGTGGACGTCATAAGAAGAAGTCGTGAAGAAGATTTCTGACAACCAGCAAAAACTACGGTTATAGGTATTCTCAGATCGTTTTAATAAAATAATTGTAAAACAAGTTTTCAAATCATCAGCTACCAACGCCAAATTAGGCGAGGTAAAGTACAACATAGTTTCATTTTATAAGGATGCTATTTAAAAATAGAAGTTATTCAATTACCTGCTCAGATACCACTCGGCTACCGAAATAACTGTGTTTTGTGAACAGTTGTAAAGAAGAAAATTTTCTCTTTCCAAAAATTTTAATCAAATGCAATATTTTTGTCCACACCATATCTGACATTATAAATTCACTTTATGACATTTTAAGTTCCGTAAAACGTACATATAAGGACCCACATTAACCGTACCTTCATGGAAATTTCATGGCTTACATTGTTGCAAATGAGAAAGTAATGTCCGATATATAATTTAACGTTAAATTTTGGTGGCCAATATTTTTTATTTCCCATTTGTAATGCGTATAACTCTCACTTCTTTAACGTGCGGCACTTTCCATAAAAATATGAATAGTTCATCATGAAATTGTCCATAGTCATGGTAAGTGGAATAAATTGGTAGACGCCGATCTCTTTGGGAAAGACGCTCACAGATATTTACTATTATGTAAACATGACCAAATCACTATTCAGTTCTCATGCTTCTGTTGATATTTTATTTTTATTCTCACTTTATAATGAGATAGACAAAAAATAATCACCTATAGTATTCCATAAGCAGTTACACTTTGTGTGGCATGGCAACCTAAAAAAAGTTACTTAAATTCGCGTAAGTTACTGCAATGCTAATCTATAAGAAAAAACTCATTTTGTACCATGGAATCCTCAGTACAATTTAAAATTAGAACACGAATTTAAAAGAAATTTCAAATCACACTAGTTTCCGCGGTGAACAATAAGTTTGTTCATATGGAATAGTACTGCTGAAACTGCTACTGCTTATGAAACGGTGCTGTCTTCGTGTTTTGTTTGTAAATTTTTCACAATTCACTTTTAAGTTACACCTTGATGTTCAGCCCTGTAAGCGATTCAGGGTGTGAAAAAAAATTATAGTACATATTCTAATATTATTATTACAAGTACAACATAAAAACCCCAAATGTAACAGTATTTTACTTTACAAAGTAAATGTTGTGTCCGAAACTATAACAACAGCACTTTAGTGTCGATTAAAAAGGCTATAGTAATAAATTGTACAGCCAATGGTATAAACATAAATAAATATAAGAAGTACTTGGTTTTTTATTTCTGTAAAAATAAAGAAATAATTGATCGAAAAGAGGCGGGCATACCAACATATACCTTATATTGCATGTTCCCGTTTCTTCCCTTAACAGCGCACACTTAATTACTAAAGGCCTGTACAAGTATGCAAGATCAAGTTTTTATTATGAAATCGACAATTATCCGTCGGTAGAGCACGCCACCTGCCCACTAGATTGCATATTTCATGGAGCGATTTATAGGAACAACCTAGTGCCTTGATGGGACACATTCTCTACAGTTTATTTCAAATGAAATTGAAGTCTCGTGAAGGAATTCACTCATTACGCGATATCATTTTTAGTATCTGTAATTGGTATTGAACTCAAGCGGAGAGCATTTAAGGTCTAATATCTTAACTGTCGGTCGGTCAGAGATTTGCAATTGATTTTCTACTTAAACTTAGTCAAGATAACTTTTCGCTTGCTCAACTGTCTATACCTATCGTTGCTTTGACGCTAGGTCCCTAGACAATTTTGTTAATAAGCAAACATATAACAAATTACTTAACGAAAATATTTAGGAACTAAGGCGCCTTCCTCACCCGGTCGTTGCAAACTCGTTTTGTTTTCGTTTCTGTACCGAATCTGTACAGATTCTTTACCAAGAACCAATTCAGTGCGTTATTGTTCCTTTTGTTTGTCACGGTTTTGTTTGCTGGAGTGGCGGGACTGGACTAGGGCGAGTCGAATGGTTCTACAGGACTCTTTAGCACTTGGTAGCACTCGGTACAGACAGTTGTGTATCCGCTCAGTGAGGACGCTCTATCTATTTTCATGCACTCGGTAAAGAATCTGTACAGACTAGGAATTGATTCGGAACAGAAATGAAAGCCAAACGAACCCACTTTGACCCGGAGAGGAAGGCGCCTTAGTCTGAACATTGGTCTCTAGAAAAAACTGTAGAAAAACATATCAGAATTATATTATTGTGTTTTGTTTTGACGAAATTAAAGTGCTTTATCTTGAAACATACTTATAAATGGTTTTTACTTATCTTCATTAAGTTTTTTTGTATGCAGATACAATTAACTTGTTGCAAGTAATTAACTCCAGTGTTTATTGACGATAATGTCGAAGAAACCACTTATTATGAGCACGTCCGACGGCTAACTGATTTTTCTGTTATCTTATTAGATACAGCGAGAAACGGAGATTAAAATAAATAATCTACGATATTATGAGAGTGAGATGAGATCATAAAGCTCTAATTTGTGATGGTTATAAACATCTATTGATTAACACAGTAGCTATGATTATTTTGTTATATAACAACTATCTACACCTACTAATAAAATTTACAATTGTCATTGCCTGAGAGCATCGTTCTATTGAAATCTATGTAAACAAAGAATCATATGCGTAGGTATGTGAGAAAATATGATACCTATGTGCCGGAATGGAAGACAGTAATTTGTCCTTTTAACCGACAAAAAAACGGAGGAAGATTCTCAAGTCAACGCAAAACGCAATATTTCTTATTATGTATCGCATTACTTTTTACAGAGTAGTTTTTTCTTTCTTTATTGGAAACGGTATACCCCGAAGGTGGTGCCATATGAATC